CGGTTCAATGTAAATACGGTTAATCCGTTCTGAACGATATGTATTTTTTTTAAAACCACAAAAATATGACACAAAGTACAGTACAGTACACTATGAAGAGAGAGAACGCTAACCTTGCTTGAGGCGTGGAGGACAGGAACGTGGGTGGGGAGGCGGTTATTGTTTGGAGGGAGAGTCCCCCGCCCTACAGGAAGCCATGACCACGTGTCACAGCAGGGAAAATGGCCACGGATCCTGTTCGTCACCTGCTGCGGAGTTCGCGAACAGAAGCAAAATTTTGCGAACGGTGCTGTTCATGACCCGAATTGGTCGTGAACAGAAGCATTCGTGACCCGAGGTACCACTGTATTTTATACACTGTACCTGGGATGCAGAATAAACATTTCTATAGATTTCTTCTTCCAATGCCTGTTCCTGATATTCCTAGAAGGCATACATAAACATTTCTGAATTCTATGTAAATGATAGGGCTTACTTTTGTCAAATGATTCAAGAAATTGCAGATAATATCCCCACGTTCATACATAATGGTCAACTATGATACAAAATTATATGGATTAATAACAAGGTAGTCAGGTAATCTGCCACACTAGAATGTAACAATGTCATCCTTTTCCTGTTTAGAAAATAAGCTAGAATTTGTTTTCTGCTTACCAGACTTGTGGTTTATTAAAATGTGCAAATCAGAAAGATGATTTGAATTAAATTTTAGTTATCAGTATTAAGTCACGTGTTTGAAATTGTATTAATTTGTTCAATAATTGAGTACCAGATATGTGGATAAGCAGGACTGGTATGCAAATAAAGTTATGCTGTCATGGAGCTACTTAGCCTCAATACAAATAGGGAAAATAAATGACAGACTTTGAGAGATATGCCTTTGAAAAAAAAATGATGAACTTTTCTCATGGAGTTTAAATTTTAGGCACAAATTCTACATTTTTACCCTTCCAAGAATCCAATCTAATTTATATCAACATGTTTACAGTATTTAACATCCTTACTGATAAGGAAGCAGGAGTATAAGGGGGCTGCTAATATGTCCTTTAACTACTGCTTTCCTTGTCACTGATACCACTACAATATAATCAACGTTTGCCTTAGTTGTGAGACATTCTGATGTGCCTTCCTTTTGATTACATGTGGGAGTGTTAGGAACTTGAGCTATTAATTAAGCTACTTATTATATGCATTTGAGATATAAATTGTGTAAAATGGGCACTGTAGCACAATGGACAAGTTTCCTGGTGCCAGCCTTGGCTTTCTAGATATGTAAGGTAGCTCAAAAGCTCTTGACATAATGTCAGCCCTTTGAGGTAGGCCAAGTCAGGAAACAGGCTGCTCAAGAATGACTGGAACTCTACTTGATTGATCTAGGCTCTGGTAACAGAATCTTGAAAGACTGACTATGTTTTCCCTTCCTTCCCTCTCTTTTATACCTTAGGGAATAGAAGACAGAGCCAGTCTGAGTTTCTTTCTAATGCTTTCTCCTTTTGTTGGGCTGTCTCTGTATAGCAACTCCCAGGTCATTTTTGTGGCTCTCCACACATAAGATTCACTTGCACATAACAATAATTCACCAAGCCCTGGGTATGATCTCAGCTTCTTAGGAAAACATCATACCCGCAGATCCAGGTGTGCCATTGACACCTTGGCGTCCATCAAGTACTATGCCCCACCTGATATCTTTAGATTAAGACAAAACAGGAAGCTCACATGCCACAAATGGAAGTCAGTTTCAAATGCAATCTTTACTTTCAAGAGAGCCTCAGGTGGCAATAGCTGGTTTACCTTTCTGGGCTTAAAAACTAAGCAAGGTCAGTTAGTTCTTGGACGGGACACTAATGAGGAAGTCTAGGGCTAAATGCTAGACTGGAAAGTTTTTTAAAAAACCTCAGAAGAGGACAGTAACAAGCCACATAAATGCCCTTGCCAACAATACTTCATTCTAAAGAACTCTGCTATATGAGTGAATGCAGCCACAGTAAACTCAATATATACTGCACTTTTAAAGAATAGAAATTAAAAATGCTGCTCTTTTAAAAGATGCCTCTGCTTTGTATATATTTATATTCCAGATATAGAAAGTTGCATTCAGAAAAGCTTTAAGGATATGTCAGCTAGGAATATTGGAAAATTAGACAGAATATTCCTTATTTGATAAGCTTGATGGAGCTTGTAAAAGCAGACAGCAGTGCATTATAATGTGAGGAAGCACCCACTGCCCTAACTAGTGCTTTCGACTGCAGTTAGCACAATCAGTTGCCCAGGGATGGTGAGAGTAGTGGAGGTTACCTGGCTGGGATAGGTATCTTTTAAAGTTTGAAATGTTTATTCTGGCTAGCTTACAAGTCAACCAAGGTTACTTGAATGCCATAAGTACTAAATACTGGCTGAAATTGATTCAGAAAATAATCCAATAACCTAAATTTGGTCAACTATCATGTACTTAAGGACCTTACTTAGAAAATTTACAGTTAGCAATGGCCTGTGATGATTCAGGCATTTTAGGTCTATTAGTCATTTCTCTGGAAGTGCTTACAATTCTCCAGAGAGGCATGAATCCTTGTGGAAGAATCCGCCTTCCTTGTGAAGAAGGTTACCTTTCTAATAAGTGTCCTTTACAGAGAGCAGTAGTCCCTGTTAGTGCTCTCAAATGAAAAAGGGTTAAATTGAAAATATTCCACTTCTTTACCGCTGCCCAGTAGAAAAATCATGGCACTGCTCTATTTGACGGGTTGTGGAGGACCACTCAGGGCTTTGAAAGCAGGCTACATGTGGTCATGGGTCCTCAAATTGTTTAATTAGTTGTAGACCCTTTCTTCCTTTTTGGTTAACATTTTTACTTTCCAGTTTATCTTCCTCAGTCTGTTGCCTTTCAGCTGTTACCTTTCAAATGTTGCTGAAGATGTTTTCCTGTATATTTTAGAACATCATGCTGAGGGAGATAATTATATTAGATTGCCTGGAAAATGTTATTGTAATGCTTATTCTAAAGTAAATAATTTGCAGAACTTTATCTCAATAAGGTTGTGCAGTAGGATGTATTTAACCAAAATGTAATAAATCTATATTAACTAAATTATGTTTCAACCATTTATATGCATTTTGAGGGGAAAATTTAGTCTCTGAAGAGTTAAATGCCACTAAGCCATATTGTATGTATGTATGTGTCAGTCAGTCTGGATCATTGCAGGTTGGCTATTATACTTGATTTGTTACAGGGCTAGTGGCTGCCTAATTTTGCCATCCCAGGCATTTATTCTTTTGATTTCACTGAAGGATATGCTAGAATTTCATACATGCAAAATGCTGAATTCTCCTGTGAGTTCTTTAAAAAAAAAATCCCCCAGCAGTTACAAGCTAGGCAGAAGCATTAACCATCATTTCTCACACTTATATGTGGATTTGTGTTTGGGTTAAAAAACGTGCAAATTAAAATATTTTCCCTGGAAAGATCCTTTTTGTCTGAAAAGCTTTATATTGCCTCCTTTGTTTTTGTTGTTTTTCCTTCTCAAAGCCTTTTCCTTCTGTTTCATTCAACAAAGCATTTGGCAATATTAGATTCAGCATATGCAGCACCATAAATAATATACTATATGCCCAATAATTTTCTAATACTTATTGTTTTAATTACTCCCTTATATATTCCCCATAAAATGTTCTACTGTATGTAGTTGAGCAATTATGTGTTCTTGAAAAACCTTCAAAACATGAAAGAAGATGTTGGTAATAAAGCTCTTCCCAGGTTCCGTGGTTGCATAGAAAACACAGGAGGCAGGTCATCCAGGGATCTCTGCAGGTGTTGCCAGCATTTTATGTTGAAAAGCCAGGTGCGGCCAGGTGGAAAATTGCATCTTTAACCCCTGAGCTCATACGGCACGTTGCCACTTCACTTGATCCTTCTGCTAAACATGTTCCCTGCTGACAACAGTGATGCTGTTTTGATTTTTCAGAAAATTAAAGCTAATTTGTGAGGACTTTTGTGTCTGATGGTGGGAATACCCAAACGTGCTGTAAGCCTTGGCATTGCTGAGCAAAAATCCAGTTGCCTTTATTCGTGCATTATTTTTGTTTTCTCCTTTCTCCTTGCTTGTGTGACATTGCTGAGCCTCTGACACTTCTGTGAATCATTCTTGGGAAATTTGTGGAAGAGAATAATTTGAGCTGAGAAAGTTGAAGCTAGTTTACCAGTGGTTTTAAGTCAAGGCTGCTATACCAGTTTTTTCCTCCTGTGGATTTCAGATTACCAGACTCTTCTCCAGTGGAGTTTGTTACTTGAGCTAGCTTTTGTTATCCTGAGAGCAACCAATCTCTGTCCTCCTGTGGACTGGCTGACTGGATACGTAAGCAAGATGTGGGAAAAACTGGCCGCTTCCTAACTTACTAGCTGGACTGCCATGGAACCTGTCTTTTTTCATGACAGATGGTTACAAAAAAATCAATGTAGGCAGGACATTTAGTGTTCATAAATCAGGTACCAATCTTGGAAT